ACCTATTACAAAATCTTCCTGCTATTCAGCTGACATCTCCCACCCATTGACCTCTAATTCGTCCTTAGGACTCAGAGAACCAGTTTAATTCTTTGACTTAGACGATCTGGGTCTCACTTTCCCCCAGTCTTTGTCTGAAACCCACATGCCTACCTACCATGGAGGCTCTCTTCTCTACTCAATTTTGGTTTGTTTTTAATATTAGTTCTCACTGGAGGAGCCCCAGGTGCTGAACTACACAACTGGGCAGTGGAGGGGGTGTGGAGAACTGCGAGGGTTGTGGGTTGGGGAGAAGCCCTGTTAGATCCCCCACCACAGAACCCCAATGCAGGTCATTATGGGGAGGAACTTGCAGATTCATTGTGTCTGCACCCTGTACCAGGGTAAAGTCTGTAAAGGAATTGCTGGTTGCCTCTTTATTTATAGCTTTAGTCCTTTGCAATGAATGAATATGCCCCCCCCCAATATCTTAAAATCCTAACCCCCAACATGATGCTGTTAGGAGATGAGGCTTTAAGAGGTGCCTGGGTCAGGAAGGTGGAGCCCTCATGGATGGGATTAGTTGCCCTTATACAAGAGACCCCACAGAGCTCCCTCCCCCTGCCATGTGTGCAGACAATGGGAAGACAACTGTCTAGGGGCCAGGTGGCGAGCTTGCACTAGACTCTGAATCTGCTGTGCCCTGGGAGTTCCAGCCTCCAGAGCTGTGAGAAATAGGTGTCGTTTGTAAGTCCCCCTTCTACCCGCCATGTCTATGTTGTTCTGTTATAGCAACCTGTGCAGACTAAGACACCCCCTTTCTTCATTTATCACCAAGTGATCTTGCTAGCGACAAGATTCTGTTCCTAATAAACGCTCCCAGAGAAACTTTTGTTTGGCAGTGGTGACTTTAGTGAGCAAACTTCACTATATTTAAGTTGGGCTTCCGGCGTCGGCAACTGGGGAGGGGGAAATCTCCATATTTCTTAATGTTTTTTAGGTTTTGCTTTCAACACTTTTTTCCCCCTTTTGAACTTCTGTGTAAGGTCACGGGCTATTGCGGTAGCATCCAGTTTGCTGTCTTCTGAGCATCTATTTCACTGCTGATGTTGGGGGAGACAGGGAGGCTTAGAGGTAGGTATGCTGAGCAAAGTGGTGCTCCCTTTTATAGGACAGTAGTGGAATTTGGAGGATAGCAATGCAAAGAAAAAAACTCAGTTGGCATCATCATAACATTCATGTTTCACTCTGGCCATGCACAGAAAGCTTGGAGCAAGACAAAGAAGCCCTTTAGTTGTGGCCATTCTGCTATCTTGGGTTAACTGCAGCCACTTCTGCGCTGTCCCAGGATCCAGAACAGCTGGGAGCCCGGGCTGCTAGAGAAATCAGCTTGAAATCCATCCTGTTCCGACCATTGCCTCCCTGAACTTCTGGGAGAATTGCAGAATCCATGTCCTATAGGGCAGTTGAGGGGGGGGAGATTTCTGTTTTAGATTAACAGGAGGATTTATCATGCCAGGTCAATATTTACCTTGGCTTCAGCTTGGTGAGTATTTACTTCTCTGTTCAGTGGCTCTCTCTGCTGACTTCAGCAGAAGCAAAGATCTGCTTTTTGTCTGCTGAAGAGGATGCTGACTGATATTTTCTTATCAGAAAGGTCTGGAAACATAGTTGTGGGGGAGTCCACTTCTCTGGTGTAGTGGGGGTGGGGGGTTGTCTTTTTCCACCAAGTAATCTGATCCCTCTTTGTACAAACAGCCTTTGAACTTACAGAACTGGGAGAGTACAAGATCCTAGACAAATCACTTCTCTCCTCTCCTCATCTGGAAGATGGGGAATATTGAGAACCTTTGACTGTCCAAGTTAGAGCTGTGAGCATTTGGGGGGCTAAGGGTTCAATGATGCCCCACAGGCCAGTATTAGTCTGGTTTCCATTTCAGTAGGTGCAGGGGTTATGTGATGGTGAAGGTCACCAAAGAAGCAGGAGAAAGGGGCCAGTGCAAGCTGGGTCCAACCCTACGTCTTTACTACTTGATTTTTTTGACTCTCGGACATCAGCCTCTCCTGAGTTTTCCCACACGTCTGGAGAGGGCTGTGGGCACAATTTTGAGATACAGAGATGGGTGCTTGTGTGGCGTGCTGACCAGAGACTGACCACCAGGGTTGCTAAGGTCTAAAACGTAAAAATGCACTGGACCTCCCAAGCTCTTTATTCCAGGGCTGTTAAAACCGTTCATTTTGCCCGCCCCCCCCATCTAGACTATGTTTGATCTTGCAAAGTAACACAGATTGCACATTTCACTCAATCATATTTCCATATATATTTTAAAATAAAGTTTTGTTTCAAATCATTGACCATGGAATAAGATGTACCAGGTTTATCCTGTATCTCAGTGTCATACTGGCTGGCCCACCCTGGGGGTTTGAGAGGGGTGGTGTTCTTCAATTTTATCCCTCACCAAAGTCCTACAAATAATAATAATGAACACTATCTGAGCATCATTGTCAGGAACATGATTTCCAGCACATTCTGTGAATAATTCATTGGATTCTTTTAGCAGACCTATACATCAGGTGCTGCCGTTACTCTGACTTTACAGATGAGGATGCTCAGAGAGGCTAGGTAACCTGTCCAAGGTAGCACAGTGGTATTTGTGAGAGAGTTGGACTCCACCGGTGTTTCCTGGGGGTGTGCTGATTAATGTGTGATGCCACACAATCCTTAATTCTTCTTCACTCCCCTGGACCCACTGTAGGGATGTGTGTGCTGCTGCTGAAAATCTTGCCTGCTAAGCTTGGGTATATCCACAACTGCCTTGGAGATGGGAGTAGGGGATGAAGGGTAAAGGGAATTATAAACCAGACCTCAAAAAGTCTTCAGAGGTAAGTCAGCCCACTCTTTATTTTATATAAGAAGATGCAGTGGAGGACCAGCGAGGGGAATGGCTGGCTTCAGGTCACCCAGCCAGTCAGTGAGGGAGCGAGGGCACATCTGGGGCTTCTGGTTCCTGGTGGGATGGCTGATCCCACATTCCTTTTCCTGATTTTATGCATCCTTGTCTTTTTAACCTCACCTTCCAAATGGAACCACCTCTTCTTTGCAGACAACTTGTTAGGACTGCTTGCTATCTTTTTAAGCAAAAAAAGGTCATTTTCATGCCTCCCTCAAAAAATAGTGTTAGTACCTGGAGGGTGAGAACCATGTCCTTTGCTTCTTTAACACTTTTGTTGTACCTAACAGAGTGCTGGGCACACGGAAGTTCCAAGTTTACATTCACGGGCCTGGAATAAACTGATTGTCCTAGACTTAAAGAGGAGGGAGAACTACCTCAGTCCTGAGGTTTCTGAGATGTGTTCATTCTTTACCTAGAGCTTCCCATCCTAAAGCACCCTGCAGTCTGGAGTGGTTATCTCTTCCTCCTTTTGTTTCTGCTTTGCCCCCCTAGCTTGGGTGTAGCCTGTGGCACTGGAAAAATGAGTTTAAGATAAAACTCAGCTCTTGCTCCCTTACTACAATGCCTGCAGCATAAAGCCAGTTTACAGCAACATGGAATTTCTCTGGTCTTTAAGATCTCATTATGCAAGTAAAGGAGGGGAAGGAGGAAGACAGATGCTTACAGATTCCAAGGGGGGGTGGTGACCTCATCATTTATTGGATGTTGGCTAACTGCCCAAGGAGCACAGTTGAGATTCTTTTTGGGGAAGCACTGAAAATCCCCTGATAATCGAATCTTTTGGGCCTTGAGAGAGGGATGGAGGGTGAGATGAAGAAAGTGGACTGAGTTTCAAATTACATTTATTATTAGGGGGCTGTCCACTCTGAGATGGACTCTGTCCATCCTGTGTCCTCAATAGAGACTTGGAAAGCGTGCAAGTTCCATTAAAAAGACCATGGCAGGACTTGAGGGCATTGAGTGGATAAGGATGGTGGTTTGGGCAGAGGGAGAAGTGGGCTGGAGATGAGATACTGGGATATACATTGAGGCTGCACACAGGATCTGTTCATGTGGGCACACACAAGGCTCTATAATAAGAGGGCAAAGTCATGGAGGACTCTCTTCACATTTTTGAAAGCGTCTTCCTATCTTCCTCTAACAACAATCCCATACTTCTTTAACAAGATGCGTTGTAATCCATTAAGCACTTCCATACTGGGTGGCTTCTCTCCAGCCCCAGTAGGCATTTTACAGACCAGGAGCTCCTGCCTTTTGCAGAAGTGAAGCCAGATTCGAGGCTTCTGCCAGCCCCTGGGATGCTTTGCCAAAAAAAAAAAAAAAAAAAGACCCCAAGCTGGGGAATAGGGCACAGGCTGGATTTCAAGTCCCACCTGTGCCTTGTCAGGGTATAGTGCAGTGGGCATCCTGCAGCCCAGAAAAGACCAATTTGGGTGGAAGCTGGGGATGAGACTCAGCATTCACATCTGCAAAAGGGGGCACTGTATTACCTCTTTCCCCAGTTCCTTTCCAGATAGGATGCCTTATGACTCTAGGACCACTTCTCACCCCCAGTCCAGTGTTTCACTCATTCCAGCTACTTCTTTGGAGACACAGAGGGCAGGCAGGAGCTAGAAGTAGAGGTGGAGAGGGTTCTGTGGAAAGTCTGGGTGTGCAATGGTTTGGTCCCGAGACCTGTATGTGTTTTTCTGGGTTAACTTATTTGAGCCTCCGTTTCCACCTATGAAAAAGGGGAACGGTGCCCCCTGTATTAGAAGGTAGTGTGGTGGGGATTAAACATGATCCAGGCGAAATTGCTAGGCAGGGTGCGCGTGCAACAAGCGTTTGAGGATCCCAGGGTTAGGTTGAGAAGATTTTGGAATGTGTGTGCGGGGACCCAGGCCCCAAGTCTAGCTCGAGGGCTGCTCGTCTTCCGGGACCCTCAGCAGATCCCGAACCCCGGTTCCAAAACCACTGCTCTTCCTCGGCCCCGGGCGGTCGAGGGTTAAAGAGAAAGCCCCACGCCCCCTTTGACGGCGCTGAGCCCACCTCGCCGAATTTGAAAAGGCGGCCCAGGAGAGGCGTGAGCGCCCCCCAGACACTTCCAGCTCGGACCCGGGTTGTGCTGCTCGCCGGCTCGCTAGCTCTGCTCGCGGCGGGACCGCGGGTTCGGTCCGGCCGCGTGCGCTCCCGTCTGTCCCCCCGCCCGGGACTCCGGGTCCCCGCGGGCGGCCGCGCAAAATGAAGCTGGCCCTCCTCCTGCCCTGGGCGTGCTGCTGCCTCTGCGGGTCGGCGCTGGCCACCGGCTTCCTCTACCCCTTCCCGGCCGCAGCCCTGCAGCAGCACGGCTACCCCGACGCGGGCGCCGGCTCCCCGGGCAGCGGCTACGGGAGCCGCCGGTGAGCTGCGAGGGGCGGCGGGGCCTGCGGGCTCGGGCGGTCGGGGCTGCGGGCGGTCGGGGGCTGGGTCTGGGGAGAAGGGCCAACAGGCTGAGGGCGCGGGGCTGAGCAGGCTGCGGGCCTTCGGGTCTGGGGGCGCCGGGCTCCGGGGGGCGGGAGACGCGGGCCGGGGTGGTTTGGGGTCTGAGGCGGAGGGACTGGGGACGCAGGGGCAGTCGGGGGCGAGGGGCTCCTATCGCGGGGGGGAGGTAAGGGGTGGGGGGCGGAGGGACCGAACGTGCCGGGCTGGGACTGCGGTGGTCTCTGGCCGCACCCACTCTTTTCTTTTCCTTGTTCCCCCAACTTCGCTCTTTCGGCGGCTCAGACCCGCGGGGTGTGCGTGCGCGCGCGCGTGTCGCGGGGGCGGGGGGCGGGGTGCGGGGTGGGTGGGGGGTGGGGGGGCGCGGGGCAGTCTCCGGGCTCCGGGGCTCACTCCTTGGGCGTTTACGGCTCACGTGGCCCCACCGCGCTCACCTGCGCGGCCGCGGCTTTGTGTTGGCCAGCAGGTTCCCGAGTTGCCCAGGTCGTGCGTCCCGGACCCCGCCGCTCCCACTGGTCGCCCGGGAACAATGAAGGGGAGATTTCGTCCGGCCTTTGGGGCTGGGGTGGCGGAGGAACCTCGGCTGCAGCCCCCACCCCCACACCTGGGAACCAGGAGCGGGTGGGGTCGGAGAAGCCGCGGGGTTACCCAGCCCGAGGCGTCCAGAGCCCCCCGCAGCTCCCTTGCGCCGGCAGGTGGCGCCCTGGCCGCCTCCAGATGGTCCAGGCTAGCGTCTCCTCACCCGGCTTGAAATCCCCCAGAAAAAGCGTAAGCTCTCAGGCCAGCTTCCAAACGCCCCGTTTGTGCAACTCATTCGAATTTCGCTTTTTCCAAATTAATAGCAATTACCACTCTGCTCTCTAGAGCACGCGACCTGCATTCGTATCAGTCATCTCTTTTGATCCCAAAACCGCCTCAGCGCTCGCTCTTGGAGTACCTCGCTCCTTAAAATGAGGAAACTGAGGCCCAGAGGAAGGTCCCCGAGTCCGTGGCAACTCAGGACTGACCTTCGCTGTCTTCTTTCTTCAAATCCTGTGCTTGCGAAGCTACTCTCTGCTGATTGATGCACAGAAAGGAAGACCCCGGTTCTTTCTCCTTGATAGTTACCAAGGCTGGGAGGGTGGCGGAGGGTACCTGCCAGTGTCCTACAGCCCAGAGACAGGCATATTCTGTGCTGCGAAGAACATGCACTTAATGGTTGGATAGGCGAGTCCCAGAAAAGCATAAAAGTGCTTCTGGAAAACTTTGCATGCAGTTTTATTTCCTTCACTTTGTTTGGAAGTATTTTCCCAAGGCTTCTATTAGTTTTATTCTCCAAACACCCACAGTAGTGTGGTCTCTGCTCACTTCCATATGAGAATGTCTAAAACATAAGCTTTTCAAGTTGCAGAATGATATGTATAGCATGATCTCATTTATGAAAAAAAATCTGTCCTATAACTGCTCAGAAAAAAAATTGTAGGAAACCATTTTTAGCAGATACCTATCTGGAGAGACCTGTGACTGGATCCCCTATTTTCCCCTCTGTCTGCTTGTGTCTGGTTTGCATGTTTTACAAGGAATGTGTGTTCATGAATTAATTTTATAATTGAAGAGTGTGGGAAGGGTGAAACTGCAGTCGGGAGTATGCTGCTGACGTAGGGCTAGCGGTGGAGTCCTTGAAGGCAGCGAGTGAGTGGGGCAGGAGTCCTGGTGTTTGGTGAGCTGGAATTGTGTACCTCTGCAGAAACTTGGAGGTGATTGCTCTAGCACAAATAAAAAGAGGTCCAAATAAATGTGATAACCTTCCAGAACTTTTTCCACTAAGGTGGGAGCAGAAAGAAATTATGATTAGATATGGGGAGGGTCTGGATGAATTTGTGGAAAATGGATTCGTGAATAGGGCAGATTGTGGGGGTTGGTGAGGAGGTTTGGGGCAGGGTCCAAATGCTGGAGATGGTCACTCCACAGCCTGGCAGAGAAAGAAAGCCCCACATGGACAGTGCTCACACCTGGGCTTGTCACTGACTTGGGCTGGCCTCGTGGGACACATTTCTGTGTCTCATGTGCTGTCAATCACTAATGGCCCATGTCCTTGAAATTCAGAAGCAGAAGACTTGGGGACAGCTTTTTGTAGGGTGCTTTTCATAGCTGTCTGCAGATGTGCTTACTGCGGCTTGGTCTCTGTGAATGCACAAAGTGACAGAGGCTCCTTGACAAATAGTCTTTATTTCATGTTATTGTTCCTGTTGGCTTCTGCTTTTTGCATGTGGCTTCTCTGGGGGGTGTGTGTGTGTGTGTGTGTGTGTGTGTTTCCTCCCCTTCTTATACAGAGCTGTGACTAGTCCAACTCTTCTGCATGTGCCTGTCTTTAACCTCATGCTGTGCTGTGGAGCCTCCTGTCTATCAGGGTGTAGACACCTTCCACATTGTTTTTCCTATTTAAAAAAAAAGGTAAAATCCATACAGCCTAGAATTTACCATCTTAACCATCTTTAGGGGTACAGTTCAGCGGTGTTAAGTATATTTGTAGTGTTATGAAACCATGACACATCCATCTCTAGAACTTTCCATCTTTCTGGCGTTCACTTTTACAGCTCTATAACTCTGCATGCTGTGAGTGACTCTGGTTTATTCAACTTGTCCTTTGCTAGTCATTGTTCTAAACTTTTGTATCACAAATAGCACTGCATAAAAACCTTGTGGGTTATTCATTTCACATTTTAAAATGTGAATCTTTAGGGCACATTTAAAGGAGTTTTACTGAATTAAAAGGTACATGCATACACCACTCTGCTAGTTAGTGTCAAATTGCCCACCATAGGCGCCAGACCATTTTGCATTCCTTTCCATTTTTTCTTGGGGTACTTTTTGAAGAAGTCATTTTGATGATGCTAGGTTAAAATGGCCTTGTGGAGATGAAAATAGATTTCTCTGGCTTATCCTACCTATGAGCTTGGGTTACCCTTAACATTTGTGGGGAAGGGTCCAGGTGGAGTCCCACACACCATGTGTCTAAATATTTAAAAGTTATAGATATTTAAAAGTTATAAAGCAAGCATTCAAACTGCTAAATAAAATATATTCTGTCATTGACTTAGTCAGACATACTCTGCTAAGGACCTGGGCGGCCGGGCTCAGGTTTTGAACTCTTGGTCTCCTTGAGTTTTCCATGGGACTTAGTGGTGCAGGGAAAAACCAGCTTTCACTTCCCTTTTCATCTCACCTAATACCTCGCCTCTGGTGGGATCTCACGTACTCAGTGTGACTCCAGCTCTGTCCCAGTCCCTCCCACCTGCAACAGCTGTCACTCGGTCTGGGTATGTGCAGTTATTGGGAAGAAAATTCCAGGTCCCTGAGTACCTGTGCTTTGTCTACAAGGGTGGGGGCTGTGGGCTATGGGGGTCATGCCCCCTCAGCCCCAGTCCCCTCACTCTGTGGAGAGGGTTGTGGCTGGAGGGGGTTCAGAGTGGAGCTCTCAAAAGCACAATGCTCAAGGTAGGTGTTCCTCTTGCCAGAACTTGCCTCAGTCCTGTTCACTGTCCCCTCTGGGGGAGATGGACAGCGAGTCTCAGGGAGGCACAAGGACATGTGCACCTCAAATCCTTAAATGGCTCTTCCCCAATGTCCCCAACCCAAGAGGCTGCATCACAGAGACTGAGATCAGCTGTCTGTGCCCAGTGTTCCCTGCCAGTGTTGCTCCCTGTGGGGTACCTGCCCTTCCTCCCCCGAGGATGATAAGCTCTCAAGGGACCACACCCGCCTGTTTGGGACCTGGTCAAGATCAGAATTGAGGGGCTTGTGCTGCTGGTTGTGCTGAGCAAAGTGAGTTGTGTCCACCTGGGTCCCCTCAGTGGTCTGGACTCGCAGTCCTGGGGGCAATGGTCAGGTGGACACCCTGGACATAGGGACCCCTTGTCCTGATGACAAGGGACGGACATTAAGGCAGGGGACTATGGGCTGCTCACTCACAGGGATTTGTTTCTGCTCTTTTAGGAACACGGCTATATTCTGACCAGATGTTCAGGATTTTTAACCCATTTCCAGACTATTCTAAGAAGTGATGGATGGAATTCAGAACTTGCGACTGCTTTGTTTTCCATATAGAAACTCTGGCAAGTCAGACTTAGAAAGGCTCTGATCCCTTGCCCTCCCTTTCCCCTTCTTCACTCCATTTCTTTCTCTCCCTCCTTCTCTCCCTAGCCCCTCATGTCCTTCACATCTTCCCAGGCAGAGCTAGCTTTGGGGCCTTTAACCAGGAGTCACCTACTTGGGGTTTAGTGCTTTGCATTTACCACCTTGACATTCTCAATATTCTCAGAACATGTGCATTGAAGGCGAAGGCTGATGGACAGCGGAGCACAGTCCAGGGCTCGAGCCTCAGCTGTCCACCCCCCCCCCCTCGCACCCCAGCCACCATTTCTGCTCTGCAGCTACTGCACCTTCTGCAGGCAGGTAGGGCTTGGAATTGGGCTCAGGAATTCGGGGGACCATGATGGTTCTCACAAGGATGGTGGCCTCTTGGGAAGGCACCTTGACTTCCCTGGCCTCCCTGGTGCGCCATGTTCAGCCCCGTGCTGGTGGGAATTAGAATTTATGAACTAGAATGCAATAGCAAAGAGAGTATCACGTGTGGAACACCAAGTGTTCTTTTGTGAAGCTTGTTTCAGATGCTTGTGTGTTCACCCCTCTAGAGGCAGGCAGGGTCCAAGGGTACCAGTGAGGGTCTGCTCTTGTCCTGCAAGCATCCCTTCACCCCTTGCCCAAGAGCCCCACATGAAATAGTAGACAAATGACAGATTGAAAGGGGGAAAGCTCTGTGTTTTAGTACCTTTAGCTGCATGTCTCCCCAGCTTTTTGAATGAGGAATCCCCACAGTTTCATTTTTCACTGTGCCCCACAGGTTATTTAGCTGATCTTGCTCCCCTAATGTCATTGCAGC